TGTGTGTGTGTGTGTGTGTGTGTGTGTGTGTGTGTGTGTGTGTGTGTGTGTGGGGGGTATAAGGTTCATTCACAGGCCTCTAAAGCCGGCCTTTCAGAAAGAAAGTTGAATTTTACAGTTTTCTTTTCGATTCACTGTTTGTTGAAGGTTGTTTGAACAGATGACCACTTGAAAAGGAGTGATTTATTATTGGCCCGTGCCACTTTTGTCGTCTCCCTTTATGTCTTTCTTGAATTCTTTTTTCTATTCGTCTCTCCTTTTCAGAACAACCGTTCTTCCTTTGAACCTTTTTAAATACTAAGAAATCACAAAACAGAAGGTTTATCTTTGGGATTCATATGTTTGGGGTGGTAATGGATTTGGGTTTGTCAGGAGAAACAACTGTGCAGGAAGTGAGGTGCGTAAAAAGTTGTAATATAACCTTTTTTTTTTTTTTTTAAGACAATTTGCAAGCCCTCCTCCCCCAATTCTTCTGTGCTTTGTTTAAGCTCGGTCTTTAAAGCTCCTAAATGAAGAAGCTTCAATGGGCAAGCAGACTAATAAGCCCATAAACTGACAGTGATTAAATGAAGACTCATCCAGACCATTAATAAGCTTATACGAGTCATTATTAGACTTAACTGTCAGTTCACTATGAAAGCTTAGCTCCCATTCATGCCGTTTTATTTGAATAATTTGCTTTTGGCACCAAAAATTACTACATTTCCAATTTTGACACTAGTTTTCCCTGCTTTTTAGCTCATGTTTAATGCTTAAAATATTCTTTTAACAATTTGTATTTTCTCCTCATCTCATCATCGCATACACATCTTCCTTATGAGCAGTTACCAAATTCTGCTCTACAACAAGCACATTGTCCATACAATAAGCTTTCATAGTCTATACAATCAACACCTGAGCCAAACTCAAAACGACATCAGGTCTACTATAATGCATTAAAGATTACTAGAAAGCTTATAAATTTGTAATAGGCTTATAGTTTCTTTTAAAGCCATCAATGATTCTTATATTTACAAAATCATAGTTAAGCCAGAAGTTTTTTTTATCAAGATGACATGAAGCATTTATGGAAGATTTTGGACTACTACCAAAACGTTATAACATCGTTAAAAAGAAGCACTGAATCTATTTGAGGTTAAATGCATAGCTAAAAGTTTTTGGGTTAACCAGTTATAATTTATCACCCAAAATAACTTTTTAGCACATTTTAAAATCCTTTTTGAGGATTTTAAGTTTTACATTTTTTAAATCCCTTTCATCAAGTTTGTGTTTGTGTCAGCATGTGCATATTTGCCTGCATATATGCAGAATGTGTGTTTGCATTAATAATCTATGCAGCTGAGCATTTAGTAATGTGTGTGATGCATAATTCATTGAAAAGAAATGGAATGTTCTTTCATTAGTTGAGTATGATGCTGCTGTA